AAGTGCGGGGGCTGAAGGAAAGGCTGGACGTCCCGTCCAGAGCGGCATCAAGTGAAAGAGACGCCATAAGGGGCGAACTTGGCAACCATGTTTATTGTCCGAACAGCCTGTAATCGCCTGACTTTCAACTCATTCTTTTAGCTTTTGAACTAGAACGGGAACTCCAAAAACCTGCCTGACCAGTAGCTACATCCTAACTTGTTTTTATTATCAACTTGATGGAAAAGACCAGCGAATAAAGGATTGGAAAAGTCATATTCCCGCTCAGGATCGAGCAGCCCTGTAATACCCCGGCCGCGTAGGCCCCGAGGTAGTTACTTCTGACCTCTAGTACTGTCCTCACAAACCGCCACTAGCCTCTTCCGCGCACTTTGTCCTCACTCATGCGCGTCCTGAGAAACTTCCCAAGGGGTCACCCATCCCAAGACTACTCCCGTGCAAGCACGCTTAACTTTGGAGTTATTTGGCTAATGAGCTCCTTTAAAAGGAGATGCACCTTGTTGGTAGGAGTAGTACTATTAATCCGTTTAAATTAAATCTCAAGTGTTACAATCACCTCCACTTAGGAATGCAATGTCCTCGTTGCGCCCATAAATCAATCTCAATCAAATCCCATAATCTTTCCCCCTTCTAAGTGCCTGCCCGATATCCAACGGATAAGCACATTGTCGCAGGGTTGCACTGATACCACCTGTAACACCCCGCCCCGTAGCGCCCAAGGTAGTTACTCCTGACACCCTTCCGGACCATCGGGCCCAATGTGACACCCTAAAAATTTAAATGCAAAAAACAAAAAAAAAGATGAGAATTTATTATTCGGAGTACATTAACACACACTTCTATTGCATGATTTGTAACGTAATCTTTTTTGATTAAGTTAAGTGCTTCGGGACGAAGCACCCTTTTAAGGGGGATAGAATGTAACACTCCGAAAAAATTGAATAAAATAATAGACAATTTCTTTGATTAGATAAAATTTAACAATTCACAAAAGTGACATTTTTGTCACGTAATATTTTGACTTAAATAATAAATAGTGTTGGTCCCGTTTATAAAGGGAACAGTCTAGAGGGGGGGTGAATAGACTGTTAAGGATTTTTTAAACTTTTCTCAAAGTCAACACTGACTTATCAGAGAAGGCCGAATTCTGGTGACAGATAAGGTCAAGTTCTGGTGGCAGAGCTGGACCTGGCGGTGGATTGGTTTCTGTCTGGGTAGCCTCAAGAAAGTACTAAGACAAATGCCCTTCTGATAACTCTCAAGGGAGATCTGCTGAACACAGAGTCCAACCTTTTGAGTTAAACAGTTAAAGTCTAAAGAGAAAAAAGTAAATGCGTAAAGTAAATGACATCGGGGATTTTTATAGTGGTTCAAGGAACAACGTGTTCCTCTACTCCACTGTTCCACTAAGCTTGTAAGTTAACAATTACAACGCCTTAGTTCCTAGCACTTAAGAAGCACCCCTCGTCTTCTTCAAGCCTAGTTGCCACCTGGGATGCAGTCCTGCTTCCTGATGGCTGGTCTCGTTTCACTGAGTCTCTTGGAAGTATCCCCACTTCACTTACTCCAGTTAATTTGAGACGTCCCTTCTTTTTTAAGAAGTGATTGATTCAAGACGAGTTTTCTCCAACGTAGCTTCTTCACAAAGGATGTATAAATGAGGCTTTCGAAGTGTTGAAGAACTGGAGGAACTTTGCTCTTTGTTGGATGAAAGGATAAGGAGTTGAAATCTTTCCAACGTAAGCTTTTCTTATTGAAGTGAATGAATTTGAAATCTCAAGAAAGCTTGGATGTTGAGGGTGTAGTTTTAGCAAAATGTAGAGCAAAAGTTATCCTGTAGTTCTTCGAAGTGTATCTTATATACTGAGAGCAGTTTTCCTGTTGGAGTGTAGAAGACAGCTTCATTAAATGTTTGTACTGTTGATTTGACCAGTTGGACCTTCGACTTGCTATTTTGGGGGCGTAAAGATATCCACATGATCAATCATCAGCTTTAAATATATCTTCGTACGTACCGCATTAATTGAGCATTTAATGCGTGTACAGTATCATGTTTCCGTCGAATGGCTCCTAGCCGTTAGGGAATTTTCCGTTAGTTTCACGGCCGTTGGAATGTGCCTTCGAATTCTGCTAAGTAAGAGCAAGTCTGATGAGGCTTTCTGGTCCGAACTCTGATGTCTGTCTCTGATGCCAACTCTGATACCTGCCTTGGTACCCAACTCTGGTAGCTTCTCTGGAGAGCAATTCTGGGAGCAACTCTGGTAGATATTCTGATCAAGAAAACCAAGAGGGTTTCTGGCACGTCGACTATGCTAATACTTACAAAAAAACTAATACAAAATCTCTATAGGGGTACTTTCAATTTCTAATTAACCTAGCATTATCAAAATCTAATTACATTTATTCCTTACAAATAGTGTGGTTTAAATTTTATGGGACTTGCCAATTATACAACATAATGTTATGGGTGGATCTGTTTCATATTTACACACTAAAAAGACACGCACCAATATAATTATTATTATTGTTATTACATAATAATACTAATTAGTAATTACTATTACTAGTAATAAATAAAGAGATTCAAACTATGCTAGCACATGCATGGTATTTGGTACACATTATACTCCGTATATGGTACGGTAAAAGCCCGGACTTGAAGCTTCACATGGAAAGCGGATCGAGCGTGAGTTAATGCGGAAGATTTTATAACGTTTAAGGCTGGAAAAAAACTAAAACCGAGAACCTTTGAAACAACGATATTTATATACTTAGGGTATGTTTGGCACAAATAGTTGAAAAGATACTTTGTGAGCCTTTTAATAACAGTTAGCTTTTAGTGACTGAAAAGATCTTAAAGAGAAAAGGTGGTAGCTGTTTGGTAAAAAGCTGACTGTTTGCTTTAGTTCGGTTTAGTATACAAGCTGTTAGGACTAAGGCTATGTTTGGCGAGCATAAGTTCCTGCTTTTTAGCTTTTCTACTATTTAAAAAGTCTTTGAAAGTTTCTAGTTGTATGTTTGGCACGCCAATTTTTAAGAGTTTTTATAAAAATAAAAGATCTTTTTTTGAGATGCTACAGTGAGTAGCATCTCAGGTAAGTCTGTAGCTTCTAGCATTAATTAGTCCTAACAGCTTGTATACCAAACAGATTTAAATCAAACAGTCGTCTTTTTACCAAACAGCTACTGCCTTTTCTTTTTAAGATTTTTTCAGTCACTAAAAGCTAACAATTACCAAAAAGCTCATAAAAGTATCTTTTCATCTAGTTGTGCCAAACATACCTTAATTAATACTAAAAGTCACGGGCTTTTTCAGATGCTACTCCATGTAGCATATCAAAAAAGATCTTTTAATTTTTGAAAAACTCTTAAAAATTGTCATGCCAAACATATAACTAGAAGCTTTTAGAGACTTTTTGAACATTACAAAAGCTAGAAGGTAGAGACTTATGTCTGCCAAACATAGCCTTGGGCTACTATTGATGCCAAACCAAAGCCTTAAACTCTGAATACACTTATATACATACGACCTGCGAAGCAAACTCTAAGCGAGCATGTCATCGCCAGAAGAGGAAGAGAGCCACCGGAGTGGTTTCCATGCCGGAGCAGGGACAAATCGCCGGAGAAGAAGCCAACTCGCCACACCATCAACGTCGACACTGGAGATTCTTTGAAGGAAGAGGTTTCGCCACCCACAACATCGGAGTGATTAGGGCTGCTATTACTTGTCTACTCATAAAGAGTTGTTATGTCGGTGTCCACGACCTTGACTGTGAAAAATTATTATTTTGGTGTCCACGACCTTGACTGTGGAGAGTGTTAAAATTCGGGCAAAAGACCCTGTTATTCAGTAGTAGCAGTAACCTAGTCACTTATATAGGGTAATCCCTTTTTGGTGGAGTAGGGGGACGTTGACGTCCGAACTACTTGGACTTCTTACTACCCGTAGGGCTTGGAATCCCTTTTCGGGGGTGTGCACATTTAGGGTAGATGTTCAGTTTCCTCGGGTTAGAAGTTGTACCGACAAAAGTCTCGGGGTGGCCGTACATAACAACGGACCATCGGGCTTAATAAAATTTTGAGCACCGCCTTTCTAAGTTACTTAGGGACTTTAGTATAACGAGTTTGAGAAAATTATTTTAGTACTTTACTCGTAAGAGTTGTTAAGGTACTTGTTTGGAGAAATGCTATTTGGTTGAATGAAATTTAAAGTTATTTTGAAGACTAATTATTTAAGGAAATGATATTTTCACTCTACTATGTGAATTACTTCTTGTTCATAAATGTATTTTGAGAAATGATGTATATATCTCCTATTTTGAGAAATGAGGTATTTATAGTGTTTGAATTATTATTTTAATTAAAAATGTGATTTTGAATTATACAAGTTTATTTTGAGTTATAATTGTTATTTGAATAATAAAATTATTTATGGATTCCCGAAGTACAAATACTTTTGGGTTTGATTTGGGTTGATTATGTTGAATATTGTTCACAAGTAGTTACAAGTATTTTAAGATGAATATTGGTGATTGATTTATACTTTGGAATAATTGTGAGAATATTTGGTGTTTTATGTACATTGGTATTTTGGAATTTTATGGTTTGAAATAAGTACTTATATTTGAAATAATAATATTTTACATATGAATTGTGTTATGAGAATATTTTGTATATAATGTTTTACTTATGATTTATATAAAATGTTTTGAAAAAGGTTTCCTCCAAAATGTTTTACAAAAATGTATCAAACGTGATTATTTTACGCGGTTGGATAATGGAACTTACTAGCATTTCCGGCTAATTTTGTGTGTTCGTGTTTTTCATTCTGTTCTTGATTTTGTACAGGTGGTGGTTTGATCTTGTTGAAGTTGATTTCGAGAGTGCTTCCACTAGAAAACATAATTAGTAAATCATTGTATACTTTAATTTCAAGAACTTTCGTTAATTAATATTCTTTTTGAGTTAAATTATTTGGGAGGTTATTAGCGTGTGCACTCGGTTAGGTTAGAACCGAGTGTGGCGGTAACGTCCGTATTTTCCTTTGTTTTTCCGCTGCACAATTCTGATGATTTTAAATAAAGTTGTATATTTCTTACAAACAAATTATCATTTAAAGTATTATTTTTTGGTTGGGAAATTTGGGGGAATTACAAGCCCCAAGGCAAATTACCTCCAGGAACGCCGCTCCCAATCAGGTCATGACAGTGGCAGCAACGACAGGTATTCACGACAGGCCACGGGAAAACCTCTCAGACCAATTGGCCAGACAAAGGTCCTCGACCAAACAAAATTCCAGAACGAGCATGAACTGCCGCCCTGAATAAAAAACCACCACAGGAAGCGGAGCGCCGTCCGGGTAGGGATTTCTCATCAGACAACTCAGCGCCCCGTTATGGAGCCATGCAGCTTAAGTGCGGGCTATGATTTCAGGTAGTCCCGTTCGAGCAACCGCTTTCAGTTTTCTATAATGTGTCCCATTCGGGATAAGGGAACCGGCCCTGCTCGTTCAAAGCTAATCGTCCTTGCTGAAGCCAATCACCTCCGAACCCCAAATTGTGGCCCCGACCCGCCAGCAACCTCGAACGAGAGTTTTTCCAAACGGTTGAATAAGGGGGCGCTCATCGCACCAGGGATGGTGGTTTGAATATCCAGCCTACCGTTGTACATCGCACCAGGGATAGCGTTCTCACTCTGCCGCACTATCATCCCCCGTTCGGGAAAAACAGCATGTCCGGCCACAAACCATTTCACCGCTCGGTCTCAATCGTCCGGTAGAATTGCAGACCCTTCACCCTCCGGTTCGATTCCGACACAAAGGCCATCTGGCACGCCACCCGTATTTCCGCCGCTCAGCAATTCCCCGGTCGGCACCTCCGATCTCCACAGTCCGGCGTGAATCTGGGCTTGACACTCCTGTGCTCCGCCATGTTATTAAATCCCAAACGGCCTCTGGAAGTCTCGATCGACCAGGTACGTTGAGTCGAGCGGATTATTTAATGAGCAAATTTTTGAATGGCCAGATGGGTCTACTCCTGTGGGGAAGGCTGCAGTACTCGTTATCGGGCCGGACCAAATTCCCCGGGCTAATAACTTGGTCTGGCAGGTGCAATTCAGCCTATTTCAACTAAGTAACATCAATCTTTCACCTGCTGATTCAATTTTAAATATTTTTTATGGCTATTATTGCTTTTATCACCATTAGTTTTAGGGATTAAATAGTCCCTAATTAAGTAATGTGGAGTCAAGCTCTAAGTGATAAGCTTACCATCATTTTAATTAAGTGATTGGTTTTAGTGGACCTATCGACCCACCGCCGTTCGGCTTAAAGTGAGGGAATCAGAGCATCCCCGTTCGTCTTCAAAGGCTCGTGCATTAAAATACTAAATACTAGATAGTTTTATTGTTACTGTTTATTGATCACCATTATTTACTAAGGGTTTAAATTTCCCAAGATAAATAATGTCGAACGAAACTTTGCTGATAAGCTCACCAACAATTTTAATTAAATGATTTGGATTTAATGGGCCGGACGGCCTGCTCCTGATCGGTTATGATTAAGCAATCGGAGCGCTTCGGGAGGGCATGCCCTCGATGATGCATATGGTCCCGCTCGACATCAAGTGCCCGAACGACAATTTTACCCAATACAGGGCGAAGTACATACCTTGATTAGCTAGTACTTTTCTGAGAGCGCCTGACAAACCACTAAGTGGTTCTGATAGCACCTAGGTAGTGCGAAAAATGAATATAGGCCAAGAGTTATTATACCACTTTGGCCGGTAGTCATAAGTATTACGCATGTGTGTATGTATATGCTTATATACGTTGTTCGGTCGTATGGCTGTGTTACCATGCTTATTGTGCAGTGGGATCCGTTCGATAGACTCGAGCGGGGAGATCAATGACGTGCGGCATGAAAGGCAAAGACGTTCATGACTGGCAAAGTAAAAGAGAATCATTTAAATCTATTTGATATGCTCGAGCTGGGAGATCGCTGATGTTTGGCATGAAGCGCGAAGACGTTCATGACCGTCAAAGAAAAGAAGAAATCACAATCAGGCAAAGCTATTCGATATGCCCAATCGGGGAGATCAGAGATGTTCATGACTGGCAAAAAAAATCAGGTCACACTCCATGACTAGCAATCCGGCCCCGCCGTTCGGCACCTAGAGCAAGCACCATAGGTAGAGGGTGACTGCAAGACCCTCACACATTCTAGATCACGGTCGGGTCAGCCCACACCTCTCTAGGGGGAGGATCACCGTTTTATGCAGTACAATCGCCCCCTCAGTGCCATCGTATCTGATTCACGGTCAAGTCCGCCCACATCTTTACAAGGAGAGGATCACTGTTTTATGCAGTACGATTGGCCTCTCAGCACCATCGTATCCGGTTCACGGTCAGGTCCGCCCACACCTTTACAGGGGGAGGATCGCCATTTTATGCAGTACGATCGGCCTCTCAGCGCCGTCGTACTATAGGCAGAGGGCGCCTGCAAGACCCTCACACATTCTTGATCACGGTCGGGTCTGCTCACACCTTTACAAAGGGAGGATCACCGTTTTATGCAGTACGATCAGCCCCTCAGCGCCATCATATCCGGTTCACGGTCAGGTCCGCCCACACCTTTATAGGGGGAGGATCACCGTTTTATGCAGTACGATCGGCCTCTCAGCGCCATCGTACCATAGGAAGAGAGCGCTTGCAAGACCCTCACACATTCTTGATCACGGTCGGGTCTGCTCACACCATTACAGGGGGAGGATCACCGTTTTATGCAGTACGATCGGCCTCTCAGCGCCGTCGTACCATAGGCAGAGGGCGCCTGTAAGACGCTCACACATTCTCGATCACGGCTGAGGGACGTGAGAAGAGCATCTTCCACCAGGAGGCTGAGGACCTCAAGGAGACCATCACGGCCGAGGGCTGTGAGACGAGCATATTTTGAAGACCGGCCTCGTCCATGCTCCTCACGGATGAAGGACCGTTGCTCGAGTTCCCAGATCGGTATTCCTAGTACCGACATCTTTACAGCATGACTATATCTTATGGACCGCCGGTCCAGTTGCTGCCCCTGTCCGCATATCATGATCGGCCTCTCGGCACGACATGTTGATCACAGCGAAGGCATCTTCACGCTCCATGGAGGAAGACCTATTGTGCGGATGATCTGATCAGTTCCTTGTAGCTCCACGATCGGCCATCCCGTCATGACGTGATCATCATTGTGAGTCCCTGTATATATTAAAAAAAGGTGGATGCAAGATTGCATCTCGAAAACCCAGAGAGAAACGAGAGAAAATGAAATCAGGGCTCCTCAAACATCACTTCAAGCACTAGTATGGACGAACCGTCGAACAGACTGGTCAAAACCAGATGGATTGAACGGGGGAATCGAAACTGTGGTTAAAATTCTCACCCTAGGACAGGGGAATTGAACTGTGAATTGGGTGTGAGTCATCATTTCAACTAAGTTTGTCTATCCGTTCGTCAAAAAGATCGAACGGTGGATCAGACTGGTTTTGGAGATGATGTAAAGCAAATGGTGGACCAACGAGTCCTGGGCCGATGGGTCCGAGTATTTTAGAGTCAAGTCCGTGGAATACCCCATCCAAAGGATAAGGGTTCTACAACCGCGTTCACAAGTGTGTGGCATACACGATTGGGCTACCCAAATGTGGCGACGGCTAGTGGAGTGTGGTAGTTGTCCCCGACCAATTAGTTGGAGTGATCTGTCCAAATCAGACCGGACAGGTAATCTCGACCGATTCGGTTTGAGCTAGGGAATAAGAGTTCCTTTCTTCTCTTGAAGATCTTATGCAGCACGAACGACACCTCAGAGTCGTCGCGCCTACTCACGACTCCTCAGAGTCGTCGCGCCTACTCACGACCGGGCTCGTCTATTCCTAAATCTGGGATGGCGACCGTCGTATTATGCAGCATGAATGACTCCACAACGTCGTCGTGTCTACTTATCGGCCGGGCTCTTCCATTCCTAATCTGGAATGGCGACTGCCACTTTATGCAGCATGAACGGCTAGCTCTTCAGCGTCGTCGTGTCTTCTTCTCGGTCGGGTTCGCTCATGACATTCAGGGTCGGGACCACCTCTTTATGCAGCACGAACGTCTAGCCCTTCAGCACCCTCGTGTCTTCTTCCCGGTCAGGTCCGCCCATGCCACTCGGGGTCAGGACCGCCGCTTTATGCAGCACGAGCGGCTGGCTCTTCAGCGCTGTCGTGTCTTCTACTCGGTCGGGTCCGCCCATGCCATTCAGGGTCGGGACCGCTGCTTTATGCAGCACGAACGGCTGGCTCTTTAGCGCCGTCATGCCTAGTGTGGGGATTGCACCTCACCTGCCACTTATGCATGCCTTGCGTCCGAGACTATTCGAAGACGCCGAATCAGGGAAGACAATGAGGGACGTGAGCAAGAGTATACTTTCTCGAGTAGATTCACACGCTCACTACTCAATAAATTGGGAGACTTGTGTTGGGGAATATTATCCCGGCCAACTACTGTTTAGAGGCCCAAGACATCACCCCGGTATGAAGCTCAGTCAGCGAGGCCCATTTAGGCCTACCCAGCCCGTTTCGGCCCAACCGGCCCACTATGATAGGAATTAGGCCCAACAAGGCCTTTTAGGCTCATTAGCATGGAAGGGCTTTCCCCTCCTTCCTATAAATAGGAGGAGATCTCTTCCTTACAGAGGATGGCTTCCTATTCTCCCCGCTGTTACTGGTTCTTCCCTGCTTCTTCTTAGACTAGCAAAAACTCCATTAATGGAGGTTGGAGATTTGTACTGTGTAAATGGTGATGAGAGTAATAATGAGAAAGAGCGTGCTTGGACGTTAGCCTAAAAAGTCCCGTAGTTTTCTCCCTTTTCGGGTTTCCACGTTAAAACAGAGCATTTCATACATATTATATCTATATCTATTAGTTTATGTTGGACTTAAACTCAACAGGTAGATAATAATGAAGATACAGAAGAAGAAATTTACTATGAAGAAAATACCGATTCTGATAGCGATTAATTGTATTGTTAATTTGTGTAACCAATGTAATCACTTTCAATTAAATTGTTTTAGTTTGAATTTTCTTACTTTCTTTTTTCATCATTTAAATAATTATTACATATTATATTCCAGTCAAGATAAACCGAATTTTATTAAAAATTCAATATTTAATATACAATTATGATAATGTAAAATAGCGATTAATTAATAAAATTGTGGACGAGATTATGTTAAAATAATTACAACTACGATTTTTTTTAAATTCGAAAATTGAAAATTAATTTAATAATTCGAAAATTGAAAATTAATTAAATTTCAGTAATTTGATTTTTTAACATTATTCACTCAAAAATTATAATAATTCAAATTTTCATTACATTTAACAAGTAACATTATTGATAAACAAACAAACACAAATTTAATCATCATTTAACAAGTAACATTATTGATAAACAAACAAACACAATTTCATTCGTCATCGTCAAAGCTTTCATCAAGAGGTCTAGCGAACAACTCGTTAATTCTCTCTTCAGCTTCTGCGTTTATTGGTTCCATATATTCTAAACATTGTTGCGCACGAATAAGTTTCCTACAACTGCATCAGCGCTCCACCACCGTCCTTCTCGGCCATCCGCCGCCATCCTTCGCCGTTGAATCCGCCACTCCTCTCCTTTTCACGCCGTCTTTTCTTTCATCAAGGTTATTTGTCCTCTACTTTTTATTATATTTCATTCGTTTATTTGATTGTAAATGTTTTAAAATACCAAAAAATGCATGTTTTTATTTTAATTGTTTAGTTATATGTTTATATGCTCATATCAATTCAATATGTTTATATGTTTGAATGTTTATATACTCAAATGCATGTTTATATACTCAAATGATTGTAAATGTTTTTAAATGTTGTTGTTTATATTTTTATATACTAGAATGCATGCATGTTCTATTTCTTAAAAATGCATGCCCTAAATATTTATTGTTCAATTAGATGTTTATATTCATTCATTATGTTTATATGATTATATACTCAAATCATGTTTTGATACTCAAATTATTTTAAATGTATTAAAATGTTGTTTTCATATTTTTATATATTCAAATGCATGCTCTATTTCTTGAAAAATGCATCCTCTGTTTGTTATCATTTTCGGACTTTTAATAGAAGGATGTATGTTGTACTCTATAAATGATATTAAATTATAAACTTGTACTTTGGTTCGGATATTTAATGTCGGACAAAATAAATGATTATTTTGTATTTTATTAGGACATCTATTAGTTTAAATGATATTATGACATTTTCGGACATTTATTAGGACCATTATTTCGCCCCCCTCATGTTAAACTTCCAAAAAAGTTTAACATGTTTAATTTAAAAAAATCATATTTAATAATAAACTGTATAAGTTTTTTTGGAACGTATAATAAATTATATATTTAATAAACTGTATTTTTTTTACCCCGGAAGGTCAACCACCAAAATCAGTGGGGTAAATGCCGGGGGGTCATTTACCAGAAATTTAATAAACTGTATATTTAACAAACTGTATTTCATAATAAAATTATACTGTTTTTCAAAATTAATTTACAAAACTAAAAAATTTATAATAAACTTTTAATAAACCGTTTTTTTAAAAATTAATACAAAAAACACAAAAAGTTAACCAACTGTTTTTATAAATTAATACAAAAAAATACAAAAAGTTAATAAACTGTTTTTATGAATTAATATAAAAAACTGATTCTATAAGTTTGATAAAATAAATATGCAAAAACTGATTTTATAAGTTAAATATAAACTAAACTGATTTTATAACAAATACAAGCTGTTTTTCATAATTAATTTACAAAACTAAATAATTCATAATAAACTGTTTTCTATAAATTAATACAAAAAAATACAAAAAGTTAACAAACTGTCTTTATGAATTAATAAAGTTATACTGTTTTTCAAAGTTAATAAAATGTTTAATTATTACAACTGTTAATATAAAACAAATATAAAAAGTTAATACAACAACTTAATAAACTATTTTTTATAAAATGTACACTAAATTGATAAACACTAATACAAAAATAATAATACATAAACACACAAAAATTTAATAAGTAGTTTTATAAAAAGTACAATGAGCAAAATGAGAAGTACAACAAACTGTTTTATTAAAAATTATAAACTGTTCCAATGCCATTTATGAGCAAAATAATAATATAATTCAAATTTCAAAATATACTATTTTTTATATTAGTACAAAAACTATTTTTTCTAAAATAATAGTAAGATTAATACAAAAAATTAATAAACTGTTTTTACTAAAATAAACTGTATAAATTGCAATTAATACAAAAATGTATTGTTTCAAAGTTATAAAAAAATTAATTTAAAAAATTTATACCCCCTGATATTAAACTCATACAGAGTTTAATATGTTATATTATTTCCAAAAATAAACTGTTTTAGTAAAACTTCTAAATGATAAAATGTTCTATTATTATCATCTGTATAAGATCTCAAAATATACATAAATCATTTTAGATGAGCGAACAAGGTCGTTGTTCCACCTCTTCCCGTCATGGCGGCTCCAACTCACGACGCAACTCGAATGCCCACAATGATGTCAATGGTGATAACAGTGATGATGAGGGACATGTACAAACACCTTCGTCCCAACACCCTGATGCCGGTGTGAACACCTCGCATGGCGAAGCATCAACCTCCGGCGGAGGTTCATCTCGCCCGGTATATGCCCCCCCTCCAACTCAAGCTAAGTGCAACAATACCAATGCGCTTTCGGTGACACCTCTATCGGTTCATAGATAATTAATTACTAATTCTCTCTAATTAGAAAGAACGGAATTCATATTTTTGTAATTTGTCATAAATATTTTTATCAATTATGAATTTTTTGAAGCGATAATGACGTGTTGCAAAGAATAAAAAATATAGTTGTCGGTCATTACACTGGACCTTGGGCGACCTACTCGGAGGTTACGGCCGCTACCCGTGAGTTTTGGTGGCGGATGTTCAAGGTAAAAATAAATGATTTTTCTCACATTTTAGAAACTTAAATTTAACAAATGATATATCAATTTTTTAATGAAGGCCCAACATCGATGACATCCATCGCAAGACGCCAATATTCTCAAAGAATACAAATCCAGAGTCTCGAGGTGGTTGAGACCCACTTTTAAGACTGTCCGGAGTAAGTGTAAAAAGCCGGGATTCCTTGGCAATGATGTCTGGAACAACCTCGTTCATCATTGGTCTACGGATCCGGATTTTTTGAAAAGAAACAAATCCGGTAAGGCAAACCGGAACTCCGAGAGAGCCAAGGAGACACAATGGCACGGGGACCGCAAACCTCAGGATAAGCATAAAAAAGATCTCGTAAATTCAACTTCGTGAAAATTATTTCCATTACATCCCCTCATATGTATATATATATTTCTTTTTAAATAACTTGAAATCCGTGTAGGAAGCGACCAGACCCCTGAAAAAGAGGGTGTCACCATGGCAACTCATCACACATTGTTGGAATCCGCACGGGGTTCAGTCGCCGCCGCCACCTCGCCTCTCCGAAATTGAAGTAAATAACGCAACTTCAATTATTCAATAAATTCCGATTTGTTTAGAGATAATTATCACTAATATTACTAAAACAATATATCTTTCCCAATATATGACTCCAGTTGTTTTATTCCTAATCTAAATCCTAATGTCATGCTCCATGAGTGGTAACGGCACTATCAATAAGAAATTAGTTAAGTATGGTAACCACCCCATGTATGTGTTTGGTCATATATTACATACAAAAACATGTATAGTCATATTTTAAGAAAAGTCTTGAGTTTTAGTAATATTGAGGTATTTATCCCTTTTTTATCTTGATTATAATAAATTTTTGAACTTGTAGAGGAAGTATGAGGAAGAGTGAGGGAAGAAAGTCGATGAGAGTGGTAACTCGGATGCCGATCTTGATGAGAGTCAAAATGAAGATATCATCTTGGCGGCTACCGGAGTTTAGAAGGGCCAGGTGTCGTTCATGGGGCCTGAAGGTATACGGATCTTGCAAAACTCCAAAGGAGCAAGCTCATCTTCTTATCAAGTGTATGATGAACGGGATGAACGGGTTGTCCGCCTGGAGAAACAATTGGCGGAACGGGAGGAAGAGGACCTGAGAAGTAGAGAACGGTTGGCTGAGTTTGAACGTCAAATGAATCGTTTCAACGCCACCTATCGCCCTCCCATGCACATTCAGCAACCCGAGATGACCCCTCAAAATCTCCTCATGGGCGGCATGCGCAGCATGGGTGGTATGGGGTTCGGCAATTATAGCACTCTGTCCAACACTTTTCCCTATTCGTATTATGATCAACCATTTCAAACTCCCAGAGGTTGCGGCAGTTGAGATGGCAGTCGAGCGGGCAGCTGAGGAGGCAGTCGAGGAAGCGCCCGTGGCGGCAGGCAACCCGACCAGCCCGAACCACCCGCTGATAATGATGATACATTTGATGATGACTATATGGAGTTGTAATAATTATAGTTTATTTGAAATTTGAATTTGAATTTTTATTAAATTATTGTTATTGTATGAATTTCTAATGATTATTGTTATATAATGTTTATTCATTCTGTGATTGTATGAATTTTTTTTTATAGTGTTTAATTATTATAAAAAATTTAAATGAATTTTTAAATTTGATTTTTTATTAAAAAGTGCACATGAAATATTTTTATTTTTTTTAAATATAAAAAGTTTGTCACGGACTCTGGTCATGACAAATCTTAAAGTTTTTAATTTTTTTCAAAAATTATTCTAATTATTCCGTAACAAAAAAAAAATATATTTTTTAAAATAAAAATATTTGTCACAGACACAGTCCGTGACAAAGCTTAAACTTTTTAAATGTTTTCAAAAATTAAATTAATTATTCCGTCACAAAAAAAATATTTTTTTTAAAAATAAAAATATTTTTCACGGATAAATCCGTGACAAAATGAAAAAAATATTTGAATTCAAAAATTTTCAACTTCCCCGTTTATCCGTGACAAATAAGAACCGGCGTTGCTCCGGTGCCTTGTTTTGTCACTGAATGCAGCCTTGACAAATCCGTGACAAACTTTGTCACGGATCCGGATCCGTGACAACGATTTTGTCACGCCAAGGTAGTCACGGGTAATGGTCGTGACAAAGTACGTGATAAAAATGTTTTGTCACGGATTTTTTGAACTAAATTCCGTGACAAAATCCGTGACAACACTTTTGTTTTGTTGTAGTGTATACTCCGTATTTATTTATTAGTTCGTATTTTATTAGTGGTAAATACTTTAAGAGGCCATTTGGCAACAATGTTTTTCAGCTTATCAGGCTTATCAGCCAAATTTTTCACCAAACACGTAACTTTTGGTTTCGCGTTCTGAATTGTGTAATAAGCAGAAAAAGTAAGGTTGGAGCTACTTTTGTGGTTGTATTGGCTGAAGTTAATGTAGATGACCATTTTAGCTATTTTACATATAATTTTTTCTTTATTTTATTAATAAAATATATTTTAAAATTATTTTTTTCCTAAATCAGCAGAATCAGTCAATGCAGACACTTCAGTCAGAACTTCATAAATTTCAGCAGAATCAGTCAAAAAAACCAATTTTCAGGCTACCAAACGAGCTACAAGACTTTCACGATTAGACATTTCATTTGATCGTATCGTCATTCACATTTTCCATTGATTCGCTAGAATCGATGCCATTTTGTTCATCTTTCATAGAGACTCACAGAATGACTATGGGTCAATGAACTCTAATACTATGATCTGAATTTTCATTCTTAAAATCAATCTAATGGGAATAATCCAAAATTTTATTTATCATTTTATTAATTCAACAAGTACAGAAACTAGGACCGAAAATAGTGAACATTAATCACCTCTGATAATAGTAGTAAACATAGATCGTAGATCTGAGTAGATAAATGAAGTACATTACACTACACTAATAGGAGACTTTTGCCTAGAAAAAGAAGATATGCATGTTAATCTTTCTCAGTTGATAGGAGACAAAAAAAATATGGACAGTTAGGCGGATTCCATTTTTGTATTTCTTTCAATTCCATTTCACTCATACTTTCACAATCCTCTGATCTGCAATTTTAAACTTACACTTGTGTTCAACTAGGGATGGATCCGGTCCCGGTCCGGTTCAATCCGGGTCTGGGCCAGTTCCGGACGATCTGATCACGGTCCCGGCCGGACTCGGTCCGTTTATATTTTATTTTTCATTTTCAAAGGAAAAGCAAAATTGGTCGGGTGTGACCGGAAGTAAGAACGCCTGATTCGGTCCCCAAAATTCAAACCCGGGACCGGCCCCCCCGGTTACCCGGTTTAGTCCCACATAGAGTGTCAGACCCTATTCCAAACTGAGTCCACTCCTATGTTCAAGAAACTTCTGCCAAAATCATTTCTAATAACTCAACTGAAAAATTTGTACATACTCGGTGATCGATATATAATACTCCCTTCGGTTCCAAAAGATCTTAACACTTTGACTTCACAGTTTTTAAGAAAATAAACACTATTTGGCACTGTTTGGCACTGTTCGGCACTTTTTGGCACTGTTTGGCACTGTTTTGTGTAGATTTATTTGCCAAATAAGGCAAATAAAGAAGTGTAAAGATTTTTCTGATACTGCTAAAAATGGAAAGTGTGAAGATCTTTCAGAACCGAATGGAGTATTATTATGTGATGCGTTTTGCATAATACTTCGTATGGTATATGAAAGTCACAAGACCCTATTATGTAGTTTAGAGAGTGTTTGTGATTGAACAATGTAGAACCCTACTTAGTTATACGGAGTATCTGTCTTCTCCTTTAAATAATACAGAGTACATACTTGAAATATTGATTTGGCACCAAACACTGGTACGGGAGTACCCCGTACATATGATGATATGACTCCTCCAATGAGATGACACCCAAATCACATTCTTGAATGCATATATTGCTTAGGGACCGTTTACTTATGATTTAATGAACTTAATGGATATGTTGACTTAATCGTTCAATCATTCCGGTGTGTTTATTTGGGATTTAATAAGAAATAAGACTTCTTCGCTCAGACAAAATTCGACTTATTCATTCAGCATAAAAATGACACCCCTTCCGCTTAGACTCGCCCTCTACTTGGCTGCTACTGCTCCTGTCCTTAGCATCACTTCCAAACCCACCTTGACTGTTGGTCTTCGTACCCTGGGGTGTGAAGGGATGGGATGAACTAGGTGTCAAGAATTCTTCTTCAACCACATCTCCTCCACCATTTGAGCCATCATTACACACCGCCAACCTAAAAAGCTTCCAGAAAATTCATCAATGGGTTCAAAGAAATCCCATGAAGAGCCGCCTCCGTTGCCACTATTATCATCAACTTTCACATTGCTAAGTGGCTGGGACACCTTAACAGTGACAGGTTCAGTTCCACCTGAAGTCATGAAGCTTAACCTGGCGGTGAGGGGTGACACGTTCAGTCCCATTACATTATTTACCATGTTTAACAAATGAATTGTGATGTTCTTTGAAGCTAATATATATGTATAGTATTTTGAGGTGTTGATTGTATTGATAAATATTTTAAATAGCACCATAGAGTATCATGCAATATGACTCTTTTATTTAAGTAATTCATAGTATTATTATTTTCCGATATATAAATTTTATCTTTCAGAGCAAAGAAAGTAAATAGACAATATACATTTAGCACTTGTTACAGACAAGATGTTTATTTGGTCATTAGACATGATTCAGACTTCTCATTCAGTACACTTAGTAAACAACTTGTTATCTCAGTGTAACTTAATCCAGACAGACAGCTTAATGCAGACAGACGTCTTAATCCATTCAGGACTTAATGAGAAAAAAGTAAACAACCCCTTAATATGGTATATGGAAGTCACAAGACCCTGCTATGTAATTCAGAGAGTGTTTGTGATTGTTTCTACTTTAAAAAAATGGTTTTAGAGAAATTGTTTTTAGTAAAAATGATAGTGTTTTAGAATAGAAGTGATTACGGTAAAAAAATTAAAGTGAGAATGTTTGATAAAAAAAATGATTTTAGATGTAATGCTTTTGTTGAAGTACTTCGTTTACGTCCTTGCATCCATCCAATAATATTCAAAGATTTATGTTACAGGTACAAAAACTTTTATAAAAAGTCTTAGACGACAACCTTACACCAGATCCATAATATTTCCTCCATCTACTTTCAAATTGAAGTTCGGGTCTGAGGAAGAAAAACTTAGACGACAATGCAAGTCAATCTTCTATGTCGCCGTTGATGTCCCCTGCGATTGGCACCCAACTTGATACACATAATTTTTTTTAAAGAATTAATATCCAATATTGTTGAAGAACTTGGAAATCCGCAAAAGCACATACCAAAGGGATTATGAAAATTATATTTAAGCATTTTGAAATGTGTTGGTATTGGCCCGGTAGTTCTTTAAGCCCATTTACCCTTGAGGAGGTTCCAGCCCATTATTTTTTAGCTTTTGCCGGCCCCGTCTTTTCTGATCCTTGCGAACGGCTTGGCTCCTTCTTATCGGCGCTTTCCATCCTTGCGCCTTTGACTGCGTATCTTCTTCCTAAGGCAAGTTTCCATGTATGGCATCCAAGTTTGACCTATTTATTCCCTTCCTTGTCTTCGATTTGGTGTAGCCGAAACCCTTGCATCTCTGTTCAGCCTCTCTGTGGGTGCTCCTACGAACTGGCCGGAAATATCCGCTGGCCGACGCCCCTCTCTCCCCTTGTTGAGCCTTGTGTGTGAAATTCATCCTTTGTGGATGAAAGTGGTTGAGACCTGAGCTGGATATTGAGTACTTACAGTGGTATCAGAGCCGGGTTGGGTCTGCCGCCGCCACGCCGCCGTCTGCCGCCGTCCCGTCGCCTGGAGTCGCCTGCCGGAGGTCCAGGGAGTGTTGTTGCCGTCGATTGAAGGTCACTGGAGGAGCCCAAGCTGCCGTCCAGAGCCTCTGCCGGAGCCAAAGCTGCTGTCCGAGTCCCTGCCGCCAGTCTGCCGCCATCCAGTCCGCTGCCGCCGCGCCCTACAGCAGCCCACGCTGCCTACGGTAAGTCGGGTAACCCAACCTCGGGTCCCGCTCAGGTAAATTGGCTTGAACACCCTTGGTGTACCGGAGTGCCACCGGATTTATTTCCCCCCCGCTCCCCGCTGCTGACCTGCGTGGTCTAGGACGCCGGCTGTGCCCGGCCCCAGGTACGTTTACTAATCCTTTGTGTGATTTTTTATTCGTAGTTCATTCATTTTTTAATTTCAAGTTGAATTACAATTACTTGTTTGTTTAAATTGTGATTCCTTGTTGGTTTGTGATTAATTTTTCGGTGAAGAATATTTTTGTTTGGATACTCATTGTCCAAAGTTGTGAATATTTCTTCCGGTTTAAATTTAATCACATGTTGGATTTTTTATTTTGATTTTTTCTGTTGATTGATTCGTGGATAAACTCTCCGGTTAAGAATATTTGTTTGGATACTTGTTGTCCGAAGTTGGAAATATTTCTGTCCGGATTAGTTTTAAATCATGTCTCTTTGTTTGTTGATTTAATTCTAGCCTATTTGCGCTTGTACGAAAGAACAAGGAGATTGTACCCGAACTTTGTGTTCATTGGTCTTCTCGGCTTGTTCGTGCTAGATGCTTCGTACAATTGATAGCCCTATAGGTTATAATTAGTCATTTATCTGTCTGTTGAGTAAATAAATTTTTTTTATCTGTGCTTGTACGAAAGAACAAGGAGATTGTACCCGAGCCTTGTGTTCATTGGTCTTCTCGGCTTGTTCGTGCTAGTTGCTTCGTACCGGTTGATAGCCTGATAAATTTTTTATTTACTCTCTTGCGTGTTGTGCTTGCTTTCCTGTTAATATGGCTGTCAATCAATATGGCATGCTTCCATTTAACGGAAAGACAAATTTTGATATCTGGAAACAGAAAATCAAATGTGTGTTGATCCAACAGAAAGTCTATAGAGCCGTGACCGGTCTCTATTTAGACTCTGAGGATGCTGCTAAGCGTGTTGAGATGAATGAAACTGCTTGTTCCTCTATTTACCTAAACCTTTCTGATTCAGTGCTCAGGAAGGTGGGTATTATAGATTCCGCAAAAGAGTTGTGGGACAAGTTAGATAAGTTGTATACCGATACTTCTTTGCCTGGTAAATTGTTTTTGCTTGAGAAGTTCTTTAGGTTTAGGCTTGACCTGACCAAAGACATAGATGAGAACCTAGATGTGTTTAACAAGCTTATTCAGAACATTAAGCAAGCCGGTGATAAACACATAGATGACTACACACCCATAGTGTTACTTAATGCCATCCCTGACTCTTACAATGACGTCAAATCTGCCATAAAGTATGGTAGAGACGATATCTCGTTAGATATAGTCGTTAATGGATTAAGGAGTAAGGAGTTAGACCTTAGACACTCGAGGGGTAGTAACAGTCAATCTAGGGATTCTGGTGAAGCGTTGCTTGTGAGGGGTAGGTCTAAGAGTAGATCTAGAAACCATAAGAAGGGTAGCAACAATAAGAACCAGACCAATAACAATGACCCGGGGAAGAAGAGAGGTAAGTCTAAGAAGAGAGTGTGCTATAATTGTGGTAATTCTAGTCACTTCATTAAGGATTGTCCCCATCCTAAGAAGTCTGAACATGCTAATGTGGTAGATGATAATAACTTGCATGAAGAAGTTTTTATGGTCTGTGATTCTGCAAATTCTGTGTTGAGTAGCATGACTGAAAATGAGTGGTTGATTGACTCTGGTTGTACTTATCATATGACACCTTTTAGATCTCTGTTTGCTTCTTATGATTCTTGCAATGATGGTTTTGTGTCTCTTGCTGATAATAAGAAATGCAAAATACATGGGGTGGGTGATGTATGCTTAAAGTTTGATAATGGGACTGTGTTTACTATGAAAAATGTGAGGCATGTCCCTGATTTACGTCATAACTTGTTTTCTGTCGCTGCTTTTGAGGGTAGTGGGCTTGAGGGTAAATGGGGAAATGGGTGCATGAAAGTTTTGAAAAATTCCCTTGTTTTGTTTAAGGCAAAAAAGGTGAATAATTTGTATGTGTGCCATGCTCAGCCTTTCTGTGATTCTGCTCATGTTGTTAGTTCTGATAAAACTGCTTTGTGGCATAATAGATTAGGACACATGAGTAATAAGGGTTTAGAGATTTTGCATAAATCTGGTTGTTTTGGTAAGGATTCTGTGTCCTCCATCCCTTTCTGTGAATCTTGTGTGTTAGGCAAGCAGCATAAGGTTACTTTCCCCTCTTCCCCTTATCCTAATCCCACTAAGTGTACCTCTGTGTTAGAGTATGTTCAAGCAGATGTGTGGGGTCCTGCTAGTGTCTCTACCCACGGGGGTAAGAGATATTTTCTGTCCATTATCGATGATTTTTCTAGGAAGGTGTGGGTCCGTCTTCTTGAGCATAAGTCCGATGTCTTTGTGAAATTTAGGGAGTGGAAAACCCTGGTAGAAAATCAAACCGGTAAGATGGTCAAAACCCTTAGGACCGATAATGGATTAGAGTTTTGCAATAAGGATATGGACCAACTCTGTGTTGATTGTGGGATTAGAAGGCACAAAACTGTGCCCTATACTCCCCAACAAAATGGGATAGCAGAGAGAATGAATAAGACTGTTCTAGATAAGGTTAGGAGTATGCTTGCCACCTCCGGTTTGTCTAAAAAGTTTTGGGGTGAAGCAGTCAATACTGCTGTCTACTTGATTAACCGGTCTCCTTCTGTTCCCTTGGGTGGGAAATGCCCTGAATCTGTTTTTTCAAACAAGCCCCTTGATTTGTCTAATCTTAGAGTGTTTGGGTGTGCTGCGTATGTGCACCAACAAGGTGACAAATTGGATCCTAGGTCTAAGAAAGGAGTCTTCTTAGGTTATCCTGAGGGTGTGAAGGGGTACAGGGTTTGGGATAGGAACCAGGTAGGTTTCAAGGTTGTGGTAAGTAGAAACGTTGTTTTCAATGAATCCGAGTTCCCTTGTCTGGTTAAGTCAGTTCCTGATTCTGAGTCGAGCCCTAGTAGTACACCTGTTGAGGTGGAGTCCATACCATATGCTGCTAGTCCTTTGTTTGCTAATCATGATTCTTCTAATTTGCATGATTCTTCTGAATTGCATGATTCTTCTGAGCATGATAATACCACCACTTCGAGTGAGGTGGAGCATTCTCATGTGCATTCAAATGACAATGAATCGCATGATGAGAGTGCTGATCCTAGTGATAATGTTTTGCATGATTACCAACTTGTTAGAGATAGAAGTAGGAGAGAAATTAGGAGAACTGCTGATAGCATGCCTGATTTTGCTTTCCATGCGTGTGATACTTCTATGTTTGCTTTCTCTGTGTTTGAGACCCTTGAGCTTAACGAACCTAAAACCTATAGGGAGGCCCTTAAGTCTAATGAGTCCGCTAAATGGCTTTGCGCCATGGAGAGTGAGATGGAGTCACTTAGAGCGAATAAGACTTGGACGTTAGTTCCTAGACCACCCAATAGTTCCGTCGTTGAGTGTAAGTGGCTATTTAAGGTTAAGGAAGAGCCTAACGACATTAGATATAAGGCTAGGTTAGTAGCTAAGGGTTTTACTCAAAAGGAAGGTGTTGATTATGCTGAAATCT